TGCATAGTTGAGTGACTCCTAACATCAAGCTTGCGTTTGTCACCACACATATCAGTCTCTCCTAAAGTGTTCTAGCTCACTGAATTTTTCAGATAAAGAGTAGTCACCATGTTTATATGCATGCTTCATAGAAGTTGTTTGCACAAATTAAAAATTTCCGTATTATCTTCTGTATTGCTTTCCTCCATGTTGGTGCTGGAAGTTATTAAAGCCCGTCCTGCTCTAAAGCAAACTTGTAGGTATCTTTTTTTTAGAAAAAATCTTTCTTTCGCTATGGTCAAAAAGGCTAACCACTTGTTATTTTGAGGCTTAAAAAAGACTACATGATATCAGACCACACTACTCCATTATTTAGTGAGATAAATAGATAGATGGGTGGACAGAGAGAAAAATAGAGAAGAATGGAAATCTCAAGATATTCTTTAACCAAAAAAGCTTAATGTACTCCTGGATCTTCTTATATGTAGCAACTTCAGGGTTACTCTGAATATGTTGATTGATATCATATATAATTTAAAATAATGTTGGATTCAGTTGTACTGACATTTCTTTTTTTTTTTTTTAAGATGTGGGGTACAATTCAGGATTATGTACAGAAGTGGTCATTGTACAAGTAAAGTTTGAGCCTCCCTTTGGTCCCCACTTTGCCTGACTTGAGATCAGGTACCTTTATTGGTGTTGTGTCCCCCCCCCCCCACCCTGGCAGTATCCCACTACTGCCAATCTCTTTCTTACAGTAGCATGGCAAATGTTCAGGGTCTTTTTATGAATGAGAACATGTGGTACTCTGTTCTTTGTTTTTGTGACAGATCACTGAGTATGATAGACTCTAAATTCATCCAAGTTGCTGCAAAGTTCATATGTTTGCCCTTTATGTCCGCATAATATTCCATTGTGTATATGTGCCACAACATCTCTTATTAATGGATATCCATTAATATGCTAAAATGCTTGATTACATGTCAAGACATTTTTGTATCAACACAATTCTGGATTATAAGATGTTCAATACACGTTTTCAAGTTGGTACTCAAGAAATGCTAATAATGCATTGCTTTAAGTAGCTACTAACAAATTAGAAAGATAGATTTTCAAAATACATTTGAGATATATAAACATTCTAAACAAGATTATCAGTTAGATGTTATTTTATTTTAATAAAACTAATTTTCATTAAATATATAGAATTGTAAATAAGTAAATAATCACAAAAATATATAGTATAACCATTTGAAGAGACATGCTCCAAAATTACTTCTATAAAATTTTTTCATCAACATAAAAACAATATTTTTTCAAAATAAGTGATTGATCAAGGATATTAAAATGTTTATTTTATCTTGATTCATTTATATTTTCACCTTAAATTATATTACTCAAGTTTATTAACATATCACATCAACTACATTAAAATTGGTTAGAGGATAATCCAAGTCTGGTCAAACAGAACCAAGACAATTTCTAACCTTTGAGCAATGACTCAATTTAACACTGGAGGTGTTAAAGTGTTTTACGGTTTCTCCTCTTTGTTTTTTCACTATATTCATGAATTGTAACCACAAATGCAAACTTATACTTGAAAGTTAAGATTTCTGTGTTTTGAATGAATCTTTTTTTTTTTTTTGAACCACACTGTGTTATCTTTAATTAGGTAAAGATCTTTTTAACACGTCACATAGACCATTTCACCCACTGCTCTGTTTGGCTGCCAGTCTTTTGCCTCTCTCTTCAGCAATGGTGAGGCGGATACCTTTTCCTCGGGGAAGAGAAATCCATGGTTTGTTACCTTTGCCAATAACAAAAATGTTGGAGAGCCGAGTGGCAAAGCTGTAGCCATTGGCATCTTTTACATGAACCACATCAAAAGAATGAATCTTAAAGACAAAGATCAACAATATATTGAATGAATGGGTAAGACCTACTAAGAGGAAGACCATGTGAAATGAAAGGAAGTCATTACCTAATCACCCAATCAATGCAAACAGTCTATTTAGGCAAGAAATATTCTTCTGATCTTTTTTCCATGCCCTATACACTTTCCTTAGTTCTCTCAGAGATCTCCATATAAATGTCCTGCTTTTCTCTTAACTTTGATGAGTCTATTTCATAAACGCAGGCATTGAATTCCTTTATTTAGTTTAAGTTATATAGTCTGTATCAGTTAGATAGCTTTTGGTTATAAATAACTAAAAGCCAAACATAAATCGACTGAAACAAACAAGCAAATGAATTGACTCATATATACACAGAGAGACAGTTCATCAGATAAGGCTTTATTTGTGGCTCTAATATGTGGATAAGAATATCTCTCTCTCTCTGTCTCTCTCTCTCTCTCTCTTTCTAAATCTCCATCTCTATTTCTCTTTTCTCTTTATTTACTTGACCCTTCTTGTTGATTTCATTTTCAGCAGGATATATTTTCATTGTCCAAAGATGATTACCAAAAGATCCCAGGGCTATATGTTTTCTTGTCCACCTCTAGTGTTAAAGTGAACCATTTCTTCAACAAAGATTAGAAGGTGAGTCTTGGTCCTGTTTGGCCAGATTTGTATCAACCTTGAACTGCATTTGCTTTCTCAACATCCATTTGCCTCTTTTTCCTTTTGAATGGCTGTCAACATTTCCCTACAATATTATATGAGTAGCTTTGACCATATCCCATGCTCTAGAAATAGTTCCTGACTGGTTTGAGTCTACTGACATATCACATTAGTTATATTATAAAACTGGCTTGAGGATGATCCAGGTCTGGCCAGACAGAACCAAGACTCAATTTCTAAACTTTGTTTAAATTTGTAGTAGAAAAATTCATTACACTGTTGTCTGGACTTCAGAGAATTCTGATTTCATGTATATAAAGAGTTAAGTGGGTAAGATAAATAACTAGTTGACTTGCACTTGTATTCTTCATGCACTCCTGTACAAATTTGTTGAGTAAAGATTTCCCTAAACTAAAGCTCGGGACTATACTTAGAAAATGTAACAATAAGCTATAATTATAATATGCTTTAAAATATTCTAATCCATAAAGTATAATCATTGCTCTGATTGCTTGAAAGTACAACACCTCTTAGTATTCCTTTTATGTCCCATTCTATGTATAGCATTGTAAACAACTAATGCATTGTATAAGTATCTGTGAGAAAACTTAATTATCTCAGATAAATCATAAGCATTATTGTCCAAAACATTAGAGTAGAGGGTCATAATCCTACATATAAGTTTAGTTTAAATTTGACACTCACTGAGACTGTTCAATCAGTATGGGGGAAATCTAAATGTAACATTCTATTATTTTTAAAAATGAAGAAGACATTACTACATGAAATGCCTTTTTAATTATTTAAGTATATTCATCTGAGTTTTCTACAAAACAATAATGATCACTTTATCCATGAGAAAAACTTGATATGGCATAATTCCTTAGAAAGCAGACCTATCTTGTTTTGTTGCTTCTTTAACACTGGATTTGTAAACAGATTTCAGCATATATCTCAGTTCTTCTAGACTTCATACATGAGGCTAATTCATTATGGACATACAGTTGGAGAATGTCATTTTACTTTGCTAAGAAATTTTTCTGCATATTGAAAAGGAAATTGATATATTTGATAAGGCCAATACTTGCTAATAGTCACACTTTTTATAGAATACAAAGTATTGAGACATACATTATGAAATTTGATTCTACAACTGCTTGAGATGACAGAGAGACACATATCTTTTGTAGGTGCAGACATACAGACTTCCAGTGGGGAGGTGACTTGAGAAGTCATGGAACTAGCACAGGAATGGGGACTATCAGCTCGCTGAGGGTGGGACAGTGGCTGGAATGCATTCGAGACTCGAATATATATTTAATTATATTTAGCACAATTAACTATACTAATACGTATTTAGTGTAATTAACAAAATCTGGGTTTAAATCAGGTCTTTTACAAGCATGCTGTTTTCATGCAGCTAAACTATTATTGCAGTGCTGTTTACATTCAACAAACAGAACCCATAACCAATTTGGGAGGCTCAGAAAAAATGAAAGAAAAAGAAAAACAAAAAGCCTTTTGAAAGCGTATCTATTCCTGCTTTGAGAACATTGGCTTATCACTTTTTTCTATGCTTCCCACCTTGTTTAATTGATAATCAGTTTAAGAGGCTCTCAATCTAAAGGATTTTGAAAAGTGAGTATGCCCCTAACAGCCATCCTTAAAGATTTTTTTTCTTTAAGATGTATTTAAAACATGTTTTGTGTGCTTTTGTTGTCAAGAGAGAAACTGATGAGATAAAAGATGTCTAGTTGAACCCCTAGGTCTAGACACAAAAAACAGAACCCTCAAGTTGTAGTTCATAGCAGCTAGGTACAAATTTAATGAAATGTAAAGAATTTCTTCTTTAGAACTCAAATGCTGAGGCTGGAGGCAAGAATAAGATGCAGCCGTGGCTTTCATCCCACCACAGGTAGCTTAACCACCTCTACTTTATCCTACGCGGTCCAACAAGGTTTGACAAACTGCAGTGCAGTACAAGAAGCATCTCTTGGGCAATGATGCGTAGAGACAGAGGGATTTTTTAGTCAATTGCAGGAATTAGGCTTTAATGCTTTATACTAAAAGACTTCATACCCCAGATAGCTTCCTGCTATCCACTGCATCTTGGCAGGCAATGAGACTGTTGAAGTTGAAACCGGGAAGCTAGGTTAAGCAGATTTTCATGAATGTACAAAATGCTCTATTTGTAAAGCTACTTTACTTTGTAGCAATTCAAAATGCTTTCTTTCTTTCTTTAATCTTTCAGTTTGGTCAACTGTCATTCTTTATCAAAAGTTTTTTTTTTTTTTTTCCCCAAAAATGTCACTAAAGAGTCATAGAAGAGCATAATGTTCATATCATCAAAAGTCCATGTTATTTAAAGAAAATAATCCTAAACGTCAATTTAAGAGATTAAAAATGACCATGGTCTTTACAAAAACTGTAAGGTACACAGAAAGACATTAAATACTTTACCTTTATTTGGAAGTTCTAGAGGGCTACAGACATCATTTTTGGTTCCAGTTTTCGGAGAAGAGATCAGTTTTGCAACAAGGGATGCAGAGATGGGCTGCACTAACAGAGAAGTGAGATTGGGCCGGCTTTGTCTAAAGCTCCCATCTATTCAAAAAGAAAGGAAGAGAATCCTTAGTAAACAGGAATTTTCAAAACTAGAAGTTATATGTAGTAAGTACTTAAATTATGAGCTGTGAGTTTATATTCATTCATTTGCTTATTTACTCCTTAGCTATACTCTGTTTATTTATTTAAAATGACTAAAATGTAGTCTGAATACAATTATGTATCCTAAAGATGGCAGATTGTACACATGCACTTACCTCCACTGTCCCATGAAATTCCACTAAAATAATAACAAAGGAATAAAAAAGCATAAGTGTACAGGGGTCAGGAGAATAGATAGTAATAAGATTCTAGAAGTCGGAAAGTAGATAAATGTCTGTTTAGGTAACAGACCTGAAGAGACGAAAACCTGATCCTTCCATGGGGAAGCTAAGAAGCAACACAGTTTGTACCACAGAATCCAGAAAGGATTCATAACTGTAGACAACAACTGCTTGTTAAAGTAGGGATGCAGAAGGAGTTGGAAACAGGAGGACTTGATAAAATTCTGATTGTGAAGGCGACTGTCCTCTACAATCCCCCACATTCAGTCAATGCGGGCACCTGTTCTTCCCTCCCTCTAGCAGGGAATTGAGTAAGACACTGAACAGGGAGACACACCAGATGCAGTGAAGCCTAGCACACTTAAAACCAGATAGTGTTACGACTCTCAGGACTCTTTAGATGTTTTCTCCCTTGGTGCACCAAATCCTTCAACCAGGGTGGCCAAGAGAAGATTCACTTGTGGCAAGTATGAGGAGATCAACAGAAAATATTCCAAATTAGGAATTCTAGCAACTCACCCAAAACATCCTACATTAAAATCCATCAGTCAATAAATCCTACCCATATCCTGAACTTCAAATCCACTAATTTTGCCATTTTTAAGTATGAGATCTCAGCCAAGGGCCATCCTAGAATGGTCCTTTTGCAGCTAGCTTCATGAGGATGAGAGCAGGGGTCCGCAGGCTAGGGAGGGAGGTTCCCGGAAGAGTAAGTTAAGGAGAATACCACTTGCATGCTAATATATCAAGAGAATATATTCAGTAAGATAATATAAATAATGACTGTTGATTTCACACAAAAATTTATATTTTTTAGGAAAAAAGAGACAAGGGTAAAATCGAGGGGTGATACACATGAAGACTTGTGAAAATTGAATGTTTATCTTTCAGGGAGGTAAATCAATATAATGAATAAAACTGAAAAACATAAAAAGTAAGAAACAACTAAAGATGCTAAAAGCAATGTGCTTGTCCTGGAGTGATAAAGAAAGCACAGAGGGGACACTGGGAAGCGTGGGAGAAGATAACATTTTTATAAATTAAGCTGTGTAGAAACATTTGACTATTTCAATGAACCACATTCATCTATAACTTTGAAAATAAAAATTAAACAAACATAAGAAGAGAAAACAATTATGATAACACGAGTAAAAGAAAAATACACAAATACTCAGAGTAAAGAAAATGGCAAGAATAGACTAAACTGTGCTTAAGAAAATAACTAAAATATCTTTATTCCATTTATATATTTTTCCTGACTCAAAAAGGGAAACATACAACAGAATGGCTCTATCAGGCAGCAGTGATGTTTGTGAAGGCAGTGCTGTGTTTCTCAAGACTTCTATTAGAGAAAATAATTGCTAGCAGTTTTCTCAGGATTTCATTTGATAGGACTTCAGAGGGTGCAGAGCTCAATGATATTGGTGTCTAGGCTTCAGGAGGCAGATTATAAATGAGAAAATATGTTACAGAAATGTTTCCTTAATTTATCATCTGGAAGACCACAAAGCTAAAAAATTATATTTCGCTTAGGACTGTGACAGCCATGGAAGACATGGCTTTGAAGAAAAAAAAATAATAAAGATTTAAGCTTAGAATCCATTTTGTTATCTCAACGTAGTGCTGGCTCATAATTTGGTAACCCTTTTATATAGATATATGTGACAGTATATTCTAACCACAGTGGCGATCACTATTTCCCAACCGTTTTCGTATCATGGAAACACAACTGGCTACATAGTTTGCAGGGCCCAGAGCAAAATGACAATGTGGGACATCTTGCTCAAAAAGTATGAAGAATTTCAATATGGCAATGGCATAGCATTAAATCAAGCGTGGCGCCTGTCTGAGAGAGGCCCTGGGAGACTGCACAGGTGGCATCCCTGGAGCCAGGCCCTGAACGGTTAACATAGAAGATGCACATAAAAGCTGTATAGCCTGGTGGGATGAACTGAAGAGGCTTTGCAGACTGCAAGGAGGGGGCTGCCAGCCAAAGGAGAACAACCCTTGACCTCATTAAACTGAACAGCTTCTGCAAAGCAAAAAAAACCACCAAGAGAGTAGGAGACAGCTTATAGAATGGGAAAAAATATTTGCCAGCTGTATACCTGGCAATGGTCTAACATTCAGGATCTATAAGGAATTCAAATGTGGTGAAAAGAAAAAAAAAAAACAAAAAACCAGCCCCATTAAAAAGTGGGCCAAACACATGAATATACATGGGCAGCCAACAGACACATGAAAAAGTGCTCGGCCTCATTAATCATCAGAGAAATGGAAATCAAAACCACACTGAGATACCACCTAACTCCAGTAAAAATGGCCATCATTAATAAAACAACAACAGATGCTGGAGAGAATGCAGAGAAAAGGGAACGCTTCTACATTGCTGGTGGGAATGCAAACTGGTTCAACCTCTGTGGAAAACAGCAAGGCGATTTCTAAAAGAACTAGAAATTTACCTTGAATATGAGTCAGCAATCCCACTTCTAGGAATATTCCCAGAGGAACTCAAATCATTCTACAGAAAAGATACCTGCACATGCATGTTTATTGCAGCACTATTCACAACAGAAAAAAAATGGAACAAAATATGCTGCCTATCGAAACTGGACTGGATAAAAAACAAATGTGGTACATAAACATGGCGGAATATTATGCAGCCATAAAGGACAAAATTATGGACTTTGCAGCAACTTGGATGGATTTAGAGTCTATCGTACTCAGTAATCTATCACAGAAACAAAGCACTGAGTACCATATGTTCTCACTCAGAAGCGGACCCTGAACATTTACCATAATACTATAAGAAAGAGATTGGCTATAGTGGGATCCTGCCAGGGGAAGGGAGGTGGATACCGATCTCAGACTAGGCTAAGTGGGGACCAAAGGGAGACCCAAGCTTTACCTGTATGGTGACTATTTGTATACCTAATCCTGAATTGTCCCCCACATCTTTAAAATAAAAAATAAACAAACAAACGAACAAAGGTGACCAGCCCTGAGTCTCCTACTGCTCCAGGCTGCACCTGAGGCCAAAGTGTTCCATGTCTCCAAGCATGGACAATGCTTGGACACTCTTGCTGGAAAACTCTGGAATAGCCAGCTGATTTTCTCAGCATGTACATTCTCCTTCTGCCACTACCTTTGGAGTTTTAGAGTGCATGGAGCAACAAAATAATATTGATGTGCGATGTGCACTCTGTTATTTTGAAGTTTTCTGGAATATTGGAACTTCTTAAGGTGCTATATGATTTTACCTCTCTCCAGGTTAAACACTTAACTATTTAGCTTGACATGCAAGGACCCTCACAATATCAAAGTTTATGCCTCAGCATTATTTCCCATCATTCTTCTTCATACTCCTTTTTGTTTGTTTGCTTGTTTGTTTGAGCTAGAGTCTCACTCTTGTCGCCCAGGCTTAAGTGCAGTGGCATGCTCATAGCCACCGCAGCCTCGACCTGCTGACCTCAGGTGATCCTTCTGTCTCAGTCTTCCAAGCAGCTAGAACTACATGCCCGACGAGTTTTTGCGACGTATTGTAGAGGCGAGGTCTTGCCCAAGTTGCCCAGGCGGATCTCAAACTCTCGGGCTCAGGCAATCCTCTTGCCTTGGTCTCCCAAAGTGCTGGGATTATAGGCTGAACCACCATGCCCGATGGTCTTCACACTTCTTATGCTAAAACTCCAGCTGTCTCCTTACATACGACATAGTTTATAATCTACATCACCCATGTTTTTGCTTCAGCCATTCCTTTCACCTCACTTGCTCTGCTCATGCATCACACACATCTAAAGTACTCATTCCCTTCAAAGCCCACCTCACAAGTCACCTTCTACATGAGGCTTTCTCTGACACCCTCAGCTCTGTGTGATATAGCTGTACCTTTTTGCAATGACTGTCATTTTCAATTAACATTGTCGCTATATAAAACATTTTGTTTTTTCTTTCCCTCGAATCTATAAACTATTCAAAGACAAGGATTGAGTTATCTATATCATCGTATGATACAAAATGTTTGGTGTATTTTCAAGAACATAACAGGAGCTCAATAATTAATGACAATCACCAATTGTTTGAAGACTAGCTTCAATGTCTTTTTCTTGGTTTTCTGAAAGTCTACAAAATGGAGCAGGGTAAGACTGAAGAATCAATTATCCTTTTTTGCTTGCTATACAGTTATGCCTTCTCCTCAGCTGACTAATTCTCTCCCCCAGCAGACAAATTTAATAAGTTTTCAAAATCCACCTACCTACATCAATTCACTGATTATCATTGCTCTAAAACTACCTTTTGCACTTAAAAAAGTGTTTAATAAATAAAATAATCTTTAGGATGTATTTATCTGTTAAAAAACTCAATAATGGCACTGCATTTTTCTCTAGAATGTTCTATTAAGCATATGAAATAATGCACTTAAAAGTTAAGCATGAGTGAACTCTAAATTATAATTGAACATACCCAAATCTTTGATTTTGTGTGTGTGTGCCACATGACTAATAGACTTGCATTAGTTTTGAAAAATCTGAAGTAAGTGGTTCATTAATTTTTCACCTTCAGCTTAATGGAAATTTGACAAACAGTTCACTTCTGAGAGCAGATATTAAAAGCAGAAATTTACAGGACACTAAGATTAAATTATAGACAAAAGTTACTTTTTAAAATCACTGTCTATTGAAGAAGAGCTGAGAGAATTTCATTTTCTTACATTATTAA